TCTTTAAAATCTTTGGTTTTCTTTTGAAAAACAATCCTCAATCTTAAAAAGATCATGGCAAAGAAAAAAAAGGATGATAGTCCTTTTGCTTTTTCAAATAACAAACATGGAAATGAATTCTTATGAATGTCAACAGTCAATGTAGTGTGGCATATTAAGAATTTACTTTGATATAATGGCTAAGTTTAGAGAGATTACATTTCATGAGAAAATATGAATTTTAATGGATTTTCTATTCTGTTTTTGGAAACGGCTGTGTCTTTTAGTGTATTCTCCTCCCTGTCCACATATGTGGAATCTGCCTATTCTCTTCTCTTCTGAAACAGTTTAAAAGACTCAAAGAGAATGGCCTGGGCTTTGCATATCCTTAGTCTGATAGACATTTCTCTAGCTGCTAACTTAACTAGATGTTACCAGCCTCTATCATCAGCCAGAAATTAACAAAGGCATAAAAATTAGCAAAATCTCTGCTTTGCTGTGGCCTTATGCTGACGGTCTTCTTATCTTAAAGACAAAAAATTTTCATTGTATAGATTAAAATTAACTTTGGCAAAAATTGAAATGTGGGCAGGGTTTTTTTTGTTGTTCAACAACAGAAACTAGCAAAAGCAAAGATACGGTAAAAATAGAAAATTTCCAGTGTACAGATGTAAACATAATAATTGACACAGCCAGGGATGATTAACGAATAATAAAATGTTGAGGGATGACCATTTGAATACAGTATATTAATACTTAACAACCATTTTTCCAATTACTTCAGTATAAATAATGTGTCTCTGAAAGGTACGGATCTGGCATCACGATCATGGTGATAGACAGATGGTGGAACAGTTCTGGCATCATGATCATGGTGATAGACAGATGGTGGAACAGTCCTGGTATCATGATCATGGTGGTAGACATGGGACTGTCTCTACCTGCAGATGGGTGAGGTAGCATTGACCCTGCAGTGTTCCCGGAAAAACTCTTAGGCTGAATTTAATCATGAGGACATTTCCAGACAACTTTAGAGTACAGACCATTGAGCCAGACAGCTGACCTGTCCTCTACAAACAAGCCCATGTCACCACCATCAACGACAACAACAAAAAGATGAGGAGACACTTTGGGTTCAAAAGAACTAAAGAAATGTGGCTACATTATCTTTTTACTCTTTTTCAACCCAAAATGTCTCTTCTCCTTTTAGTTGTGTGATTTGTGGTGACATGGGCTGTCTGAAGGAGACAGGTCAGTTGTGCTGTTCACTGTTCTACATTCTGAAGTTGTCTGGAGATTACCTCAGGCTATGAAACTCAGGCTAATCGTTTTCAGCAAGAACATGGTGTTGTTCATACTCTGCACCGGCAGAGTCCCATGTGACATGTTGTCTTAGTGTGGGAATATGACCCCTATCCGGGAGACCAGGTGGAGTCTTATCACTGTCATAGTAAGAAACCTACTGTCCATGTCCAAAGTCAAGCGAACATGCTCTTCTACAAATAAAAAAATGGCATATGTGTAAGTCTGGCATGTGTAATAAAACTCAAGATACGCTGTATATGTTGAACACAATATATCCAGTGAGTACCAGATGACCAGGCTCTTCTGCTTCCACCAGCTCCATGCTAAGCCTAAAAAAGGAGGAAAAACCAAAGAATAAGTCAGGGAAAACAAGACACCACAGAGCCCCAACTAGATTTCATGGGTAGCACAAGAAAATGGTTAATAAAGAAAAAACATAGATCCATTAATAACACAACAAATTATTGCCTTATGCTGGGATGGACAAGAGTAGGGTAAAAAGAATGAAAGAGAAAGAGAGAGAGAAAGTAAGCTCAGTGAAGCATCCAGGTGACACACTGATGAGGGAGTAAAAGGACACTCTGAGTTAGTGCCCTCAGGACACACAGTGTACACTTATCATAAAAACAAGCATGGTCAGCCTACAGTAGTTAGTAAATGGTAAGGGGAGGAAGAAATGGAAACCTAAATATCTACTGCAATGAAAACCAACAGCAATGTTAGTAGGAATAATTCAGACTTCGTTGAAAAGATGGTATCAATATTATCAGCCCACTCTGTTTTCCCTGGACCTGGCATCTCCAGGTGTCCACACAACATTAGCTGTTCACAATTTCCCAAAGTTACCTGGGGCACAGTGAGCCTCGGTCTTCTTCCTCTTCTTGGTCCTTTTCAATCTCTGCAATAAATTCAGATAGGGACAGACAAAATAAGCCATTACCCTACACCCGTAACAGTCCACTGTCTAATCCCTGCACAGGGAGCTCAGGCTCCTCAGCACGAGAACAGGATAATGTGAGAGACAGACTTAGGAGGTCTCAAAGCCAATCATGATAGAGAATCCTTGGTTTGTGTCTCAGAACCAATGGTGAAACGTCCCTATTCTGGCAGGCCATTATCCCTTTATCCCAAGTTTGTACAAACAGGAAAGAACCTCACAGACATGCATGGGGAACAAAACTCATGAGGAACGTTGTAGCTGGCAAGAGACATTTAATTCAGATTGACAGACAACTCGTGGGCATGCGCTGCACAGTTTGGTGTGAGTTGGCAACACCTGCCTTGGGTTTCAATGTCCTGACAGTCGGTCCAGGGTGCGA